CTGTATTCATAAGATGGTGTAAGCAGTGACTTGTGTATCTGTTTCATGTTTTTCTTTAATATAGTATTTTTAAACTTTGGTGTGATGCTGAATTAGACTCCAGGAGTGTGACCTGGGCTGCATTTTTACTCCGAGTGGGGAGATGCTTATGAAGGTGGTGGCAGTGGTGGTGATGGGTCGTGGTGGTGATGGTAATAGCTCCATTTCAAAGGCTTGTGATACGTGGTGCATTTTGCAAGGCAGTTTACAGCTGTTAACTTACCTGATATTCAGAACAGCCTATTTGATAAGATGCTGTTGTTTTCTCCATTTTCAAATGGAGACACTGAGGCAGAGGTAAGTCAAATAATTTGCCCGCAAGTTCTTGTAAAAATAGGGGCCAGCTCCTTAGCCTGCATAATTTCAGGAGGTCTGCCCTTTAAAATACAGACAGTCATTTTCTGTATCTGTGTGACCCACAGATTCAACCAGACTCAAATAAAAAATATCTGGAAAATAATGAGAAGCAATAAAAAATAACAATGCAAAATAAAAGAAAGAGAAATAAAAAATAATACAGTATAACAATTATTTGCATAAAATTTGTACTTTTTTAAGTATTATAAGTAATCCAGAGATGATTTAAAGTATTTGGGAAGATGTGTGTGAGTTTGTGCAAATACTGTGCTATTTGAACCATGAGGGGAATTCAAATAGTTCATGGGAAAATGGAATTAAACTACAAATTTATTTCATTACAAAAAAATTTGAAATCCATGCATAGTTTTTCGTAATACACAATTTTCAGTGACATTTTTGAAGACCTATGAGGGACTTTGAACATCCTTAAATTTGGATGTCTGAAGCGGGTGTCTTGGAGCCAATCTGCCACAGTTATGGAGAGATGTTGATATATATGTACATAAATAGACTATAAAATTTTTTAAGGAATTATTTTATTTAACTTTATTTATTTCAATTTGACCAGAGAGGGAGGGAGGGAGAGCGAGCGAGCGAGCGAGCAGGCGCAAGCTACCAAGTCCAGGGCTCGAACTGTGGTCAACTATGTAGGAGTCCAGCACTCTTAACTACCACATCACCTGCCAACTCCATAAATAGATCATGCACGTGTATTTACTTTATTATTTTTCTTTAATATTAAAGTATTACTTTGTAACTAAATGAAATGTAAGTAAAACTACTTAAGCATATATTGTTTATTAGCATAAGATAACTCTTAGTTGTATATGCTAGCATATTTTGTCTTTTTAATATAAATAGAATATTTTAAGCCCTTTTTGTTCGCAGACTGCAGACAATGTGGGTGGGAGGTAAAAATGGTGGCATGGTGGTGGCAGGGTGGAACTAATTTATTTCATATCACTCACTGCCTGTTCAAAAGAGTTTTTGCTGAATGATTTTAGGTGTTGCCTAATGAATGCTTTTGAGACCACTTGAACTTAAAAAGAATGTTGTGCTTTACTCGAAACATCTTATGAGTTTTTACTGTGCTATATAGAGTTAGTGGCAAACTTTTATCCTTACAACTTAGCTGAACAATGTTTCAACTATTTCTTTTTACATTTCCCATTTAAAACTTTGCTTACCTTCTCTTACTTCTCATTTATATTTATTTGGAGTGAGTTATATTACCCCAAGCAGTTCAAGATATTGCCAAAGCTATTTATGTGACATGCTTACATTGTTGGACAATTCTATGAAGAACTGGATAAAATAGGGTGCCAAGAAATCAAAGAAAAGTACATGTGATGCCATGGAAGATTATAGAAATTACCTTTCTTAGAATATGTTTTTGTAAAATTTTATACATTCTTTTTTCTGGAGAGGTTTTTGCTATAGGGTGTGTGCGCTCGCTAGGAAGACAGAGGCAGAAAGCGAGAAGTCACTCCCCAGGGGGGATGGCCACACTGCAATCCCTTCTCTTCTTGGGATCTTGGGCACGCACGCACATGTGCCCAGCGTGAGTTTAGGCCACCGGGTCTGGGACTTGAACCGCAATTGACTACATGGGAGTTCAGCGACATAGCCATTATGCTAACTGCTAGCCCCCAAATTTTATATATTCCTGAAATTCGTGTTCTTAGTATGTAAAAGTTGGGTGTAAGACTGGGTGAGTGCTGTAGTAGACAGAGGGAGGTGTCAGTTTTAAGTTAGTCACATATCTTTCTCTAGCTTATAACTTGATTCTTTGCATTTTCTAGGACTGATGATCTGTCTGAATGTTGGAGACTTAGTATGGAGGTTAAAAAGTTGAAGTTTTTCTAATAAGAGTATAACTCTACAGTAGCTATTTACTTCCTCGATTATAGTCAAGAAGCGTGTGTAGTTTTTAGAGGGTCTTGATTTTGCTGCTTTCTAGCTGTGTGACTTTGGGCAAATAATGTCATATCATGGTACCCGTTTCTGCATTTCTTAAATGAGGAGTAGTGTTCAATTCTAAAACTCTTATAAGTGAATTAGAAGAATGTATTTCAGATAATGTAAAGACACATATACATTGGCAAATCACTTGTTCGTATCTGTTGGAATGTGAAACTAGTTTTCTTGTGTAGGCATATTATCAATATTACTCAAACCAAGGGAATCATTCTGTACTTTTTGATTCATAATTTTGTTGACCTGATGGTGTCTTTTCAATATTATGGTTATGGTTCTTGTATTAACAATTAAATTACTGGGGCCAGCACGTGGCATGGTGGTTAAAGAGTTGCAATGCCACATGGCCGACCATGGTTGATTCCCAGACCCAGTGGCTTGAAAATCACACCCGGCACAGGTGTACATATGCCCAAAATCCCCAGAGGAGAATGGAGGAAAAGGGATTGTAGCATGGTCATTTCCTTTAGGGGTGATTTCTCTTTTTCTCTCTCTCTCTGGTGAGTGTGTGTGCCCTATGGCAAAAATCTAAAAAAAAAAGTTTCAAATTAAATTACTGTCATGATGATTGGAATCATTCGGATGAGTGAAATGAACATATTTGCAATTGCTCCTCTTGTACTGAATACCTCATTTTTTTAAACATCTCTATGTCCTGTAATTTATTTTTAATTTTCTTATACACTGAGTACATATATACTTCCAGAGCCATACTTTTATATATCTATTTCTACATGTAAATGTGTGTGTATATATATACATATGTACATATATATATACACACTACTTCTAGATCTGTATATTTCTATATATATTTCTGTTTACATAAATTCTATATGTGCTACATATTTTGAAATGTATTTCTATATTTCCTGAGTGTGACAGAGAAAGAGAGAGAGAGAGAGACAGGGAGACAGTTATCCTCAACTATCCACACCCCTCCCCAACTTTCCTAGCCAGCTGGAGTCATGGGCACACATGCCTAGCATGTACAGGTTGACTGGGGAATTGAACTCATGATCTTCAATACAGAAACTATTTGCTTGAACAGTGCATACCACTGTGCTAGCCCCATTTTGTATGTTTAATTACTATTTCCTTGGTATGTTTGATTAGGCTAAATGAGAAAAAAAGCAGTTGTCTATTTTCTCCTTAAAAATGCCTTTTGATACAAAATCTTCTTAGATCAGCCCTGCATGTAACTCAGGAACCTGTTCAGAGGATTTCAGCCGCCCCCGGGTGCTGCTCTCTCTCTAGGAAATCTAGCCACTTATGTGTCTTTTATGCACCTCCCCTTCCCCGTCAAGTTTCAGATGATAAAATCCTTGAGGAAGGAGCTTTAACCTTTCCATTATATCTCATAACATCCAGAACAGAACTCTGTAAGTCTCCAAGTCATTTATAAATGTTATTGCTATTAAGGATTTTAGATTAAAATGATTGGATAGAATGAAATAATCCTGTTTCTAGGATATTGAACTGTTTTGGGGTCAGTGTGATTAACTCAAAGACAGCAGTTTTACTGAGCTCTAGGCTTTGTTTCTGAAGTCAGTTTCTCCTCATTTCATTGTAAGCTGATTATTCACCTTACATTCTCCCATATTATACTTTGGCATCAGATTATTGATAGGGAGACGTCTGTCAGGGTCTAGGTTGGATAGATAATGCATGTATGTGTACACATGTGTGTGTGTGTGTGTGAGAGAGAGAGAGAGATGGCAGAAGCAGAGACAGAAGGATCATATATAAGAACATATGAGAATTTGAGGTATGTGTCATTTTAGAATTTTGAGTCTTACATAGATAGCTATGTAGTTACATGTACTTATTTGGGATATATTATAACCAATATTCAGAAACAAGTTTTCATCAGTGGTTAAGTGTGTTGCATTGGGAAGATAAGGACATTATTTTTTCCCTTTCATATTTTCATTTCAGTTTTTATGTATTTTTTTTGCTAGACTTAAATTGTCATGCATAAATAACTATTGAAACAAGCCAGATTATATAGTTGGGCAGAAATTATATTAGGACTCTGAGATATACTTTAACAACTTTTGGAATAACTTAATATCCCTAATATTTGAGAAGCATCAAAACAGAGACTGTATTCTACTCCGTGATTATAAAGCCTAAAAAAGCATGTATAATTGGCAGACTCTACAAAAAGTATCTATAATGATCAAAAGAAAAAGTATAAGAGCAGAAAAGGGCTTGTATCATTTTCGTATTATAATTAGTAGTAGGTAACCATACATTTTTGTCTCTCAGTATAAAGAATGAAGTTTGCAGGCAGGGAATTTCTCTTCGGTGTGACCTTTAGCTTATGGTATGTACTACTCTAAGTAGCTGATGACTTTAATAAATTCTGTAAATACGCATGATACTGTCAGTGTTTCCAGATATTGCAGTTAGTTTTTAGGTGAATGAGATGTTGACAGAATTTAAATTTGTGACTCCATAATTTGTTACATCATTGAGTAAATACTATTTTTATCATGTGTTAATTTGCATAGCAGGGCAATTGAGGGAACTTCTTGGGAAGGGATTGAAATTACTTGAACACTGTTTTCTGAAGGTAATAGACTTTTAGGGGATTTTTAAATTTTGGGTCATAGCATTTATTCTCAAACATAGTATGACTTCTCAAAAGGAGGTAGATAGGATAGTCACTTTATTTTCCAGTTTAGTTATTGCTCATTATCAGTTGGTAGGTATGGGAACAACTTAATAAAGTTTGGGTAATTCAGTTTTCAGTTTAAATTCTCAACTGGCAATTGGCCGAAAACTGGCATCGGAAGACGCGAGCATCCAAGTATCATTTTGTGACTGGGCTACTGTCTGCTTGACTTAGGAAGGCACTCTCAAGAAAAACTAATGGAGTGACTAACTGTCAAAAGGAAATCAATGGTAAGAATTTTTATGTGAACTATAATGTGTGTGCGTGTTTATGTAAAGAATACTAATTTATTATATTTGAATTAAAATTTTAGAACTTTTACAAATATAATTAATGTCAAATATTGGAATTTTTGTCTGTTTCATTTTTAATAAACACAGCATTTTTTAGCAAGGGATTGCTATACTTAATATTGATAAGAAAATAATAATAAAAGCACAAAAATTCAGTGATATAATTCATGTCCAGCTTAACAAGTTCAATTTTCTATAGCTTTTTGCAGTTAATTATATTTTTTAAATGGCATATTATTAACATTGATTAAATAAAGTTTAATTTTTGAAAAATGTATACCAAACTGAATTTATCTGTAGTTCTATACTTAAAGTAGATGTCATAAATTTTGCATTAGTCTATTAAATACTATTTTATTAGTAGCTTTTACTTCCATTGTATATAATAGGAAGAAAGATGTGTAATATATAATCAAATCCATTTAAGTTAACATTAATTATATATAAATATATAATTGGTACTATACTTCTGGGAAATGTGGAATTTGTAGGATAAGGTGTTTATATACCCATAATAAAGAGAAGTAGCTATTCATAATATAACATAGCATCAAATTTTGGTGATAAAACCTGACAGCTCTCTTCTGGGTTATGTATCTTTGCACTGAGAAAGTAATTCCTAAATTTGGCTACATTTTTATATATGTCAAATGACCTTAAACTTACATTTTTCTTTTATGTGTTTGGTTCTTATGTATCCCTTCCTTTGGACATATGCGTCTTACTTATCACGTTAACGATTAGTTACATTAACTTTGGATATGAATGGAGGCGGTAGATAAATGGCATAATAGCTTTATGATAACTACATAATTACTGATGAAGATGATCATATTAATACTAGATTGTAATTCTATTACTCTTTTGTCAAAATTATGGTTTTTGAGATTGACATAGGTTGAGTGAATTTTCTTGCCTAAAGGTGTCAAGTTGATAGTAATTGAACCTGGCTTTTCATAGTTGTTTTCTAGAGCTTAAGAACAAACATACCAGGAACAGCACTGGTGACAAGTACCTAGCACAGCATCTGTCATTGTGTCAGCATGAAAATGTTGACAGTAAACTGAGTATTCTAGATGGCAGCATCAATCTCCATCTGTCTATTCAGAAATACCAAAATTTGTAGACTATCCACAGTGTACCATCTATTCAGCTCAAGGCTGAGGATAAGATAAGATTAAAAAGAGAGTTATTCCCTAATTGCACTTGAACTTCCAGTGTATATGGTAATTACAGTTTATATATAATTACAGTCAAATATAAAATTACAACTTGAATAATAACTGTTGTCATGGAAGTGGAAGCAATACAAAGAGTCTTCAGAAAGTTTGTGGGAAATGGAATTGAGGTATGAGTTTATTTTGGTGCAAAAATATTTAAAATCCATAAACAGTTATTTTAGGATTTCTGTTTTTGTTTTTTAATTGCCAGAAGGTGTATGGACTTACCTGAGGGAGAAAGGGAGAGCAGGAGAAAGGACCCCTCAGTGGGGTATGGTCCTTCTGCAGTCCTTTTTCCTCCATATCTTCATCCTGTTGGGATTTTGAGCACACATGCACACATGACTGTGTGTTTTTCAAGCCACAGGGTAAGGATTTGAACTACAGCCGGCCATGTAAGAGCCTTTTCACTTAAGCACTAGGTTACAGGTCGGCCCAATGTATACTTTATTCATAATTCACATTTCCCATGAACTTCTTGGAGACCTTTGCATGGTTAGTGCATGAATAAAACATAGAACCCACACCTGTATTTATTAAGGCAGATCGATAACTCATTTTTTGAACTTTTAAAGCTTATAGCCATTAAGAATACCTTCAAAGCAAGGCATTGGAAGGACTAAATTCTAATCATGGAGAAACACATTTTTTATGCTGCTGTTCTGTTTTCTTAGATTTCTTAGGAATTTATAAGAAAGCCTTGCCAAAGCAGCATTCTTATGTAAGAATTTCATTTATGGGAGAGAAGTTCTTATAAGATTATTTAGCATTTTAGGAACTAATGCCATGAAAGAAGACTATAAGTTCTTCATCCAAACTTAAAATTGTTATATGGAGACATTTTTTAATGGCAATATGCTTTTCTTATTCAATTCTATCCCCTAAAGAAGAGAATTGAAAATTTATGTTTCTCTTATACAGTGATTGTGAAACACAAACATTTATTAAACTTGGAAAATAAAATAAGAAAACATTTAAGTGTCTAAATGTTTACATTCTTTCTGTAAGGCAGAGAATCTCACCTAAGAAAAACATATTAGTGATGTTTAGCTATTTTCATGTGTTAGCTTTGTCAACTTTTTGAAAACTCTTATTGAAGCCTAGCTTTTTAAATTTCAGTTGATAGTGTAAACAGATTGAATCAGAGCATACAATATAGAATGAAACTAAAATTTTAAAAGTCTTCTTTTATAATAGAAATGATCTTTTCCTAATTTATTACTTAAATATGCAAGCTATTTAAAATATTAAATAGCATAATTTTTTAAGTGTCTAATTGAAATTAAGTTGCCTCAGAATTACTATGTTGACTCTAAACTCTACAGTGACTTCTAAGTTGAGTCTTTGCCGGATATGCTGACAAGGTCAACTTTACTTTCAAGTACAATTATATGCTGCACAATGATGTGTTGGACAATGGTGGACCTCATGTAGGGGTGCTCCCATAAGATTAAATATCTAGATGTGTGTAAGTAGACTCTATGATGTTCTCACAATGACAGAATTTCCAAATCACATACTTCCCAGAATTAATTCCCATTGTGAAATGACAAATGAGAGTATTTTGATGTAAAAATTTTATCTTGGAGATCTAGGCAGTTTCACTTGGTAGTGCTCAGAGAAAGATGTCCTTCCCGTGCCTCCCAGAAGAAATGTCTGAGGGAAATTGTTGCAGAGGATCATGCTGGTGGTGGCAGTGTCCATGACATTCAGTTCTCTTGGACAGCAGCTGGCAAAGCTGTCCTTGTGCAGTTAGCTTTCATTGGCCTATAATGTCAGGTGAAAAATTAGGAGTTCAGCTACAAAAATATATTTGACACTTATTTTTTCATTGAATTAAAGTTATTTCTTTTCTTTTTTGAGTTCTTTGTGCCGTAGGGCGTGTGCACTCACCAGAGAGACAGACAGAAAGTGAAAAATCACTCCCTGGAGGGCGGCCATTCTACAGTCCCTTCTCCTTTGTTTTCCTCAAGGGATTTCATGCACACATGCACACACACCCTGCTTGAGTTTTAAGCCACCAGGTCTAGGACTCAATCCAAGGTCCGCTACATGGGATTCCAGCAACATAATCAATACACCATCTGTTGGTCCTTAAAAATATTTCTTTCTAAAGCAAACAAAGATTGATGAATATCATCAGTTTTTAACTATTTAACTTTTCAGTAAAGCAAATGATATGATGAGTAGGTGTGTATGTTGTACTTTAATGTAATGGCTTCTGTTTTGAATTTGGGAACTCCTGTTTTTGGAGGAAATGAGTTGGCATCAACAATGATATAGCATTAAAAGTTTGCATGAAGAAGCAAATTAAATTTATTTATTTATTTTTTAGGTTTTAGGTTTATGTTATAGTGTGCATGTGCTCACCAGAGAGAGACAGAGGGCGAGAAAATGAGAAATCCACCCCCCCCCAGGGGGGGATGTCCGTGATGCAGTCCCTTTTTCTACAGTCTTCTCTCAGGATTTTGGGCATGCACGCACATACCCCTGGCATGATTTTCAGGCCACTGGGTTCAGGACTTGAATTGCAGTTGGCCATGGGGAAACACCTTAGCCTCCAAGCCACCTGCTTGTCCCAAGAAAGCAAAATTTTAATAAATGTTAATGCTATTTATAACTGTGGGAAGGAAAAAGAATATTTTCAGCTTAGTATAAGAAAGAACCTTTTAAATTTGGAAAATAAAATGTGGTGCCTTCTGCAATTCATTTTTCAAAGAATTTGTGTCAAGCCTTATAAAGATGAAATTCTTGCTAATATAAATCACAAATGTTTATCTAAAGGAAGTGGTCACATCTTTAAAAACTAATGTATTGATAATTATAAATATATAAAATTTTATATGAAATAGATATTAATAGCAACATTAAGCTACTACTTATGGTGGGATATTTACTATGAGTAAATTTAAGAGACAGAAGAGCAAATACCATTTATTCATTCTATAAATTCTACCAGAACCTACTGTATGTCAGGCATTATACTGGGCAGGAGGGCATGGCCATGATTAAAACTAAAGCGATTGGTTTTTTCTGGCAGGAAACATAGACACTACACAAATAATTACAGTATAGTGGCTTGTGGCATTTTAAAAGCCAACAGTTCACTTTCCTCACAAAATGAGGTTACTCATTTTGACATAAAAATCAGACACGTTTTCTGAAAATACCTTAGAAATTGATAGAGATGTAAGCAGCATTATTCCTTGTATAGGTTATTTAAAATAAGAGGCTGCTGTGAAAATAGCTTTGAGTTTCTGAGCTACTGGGAAGTAGGAATATGAGCAAAACAAATTCATAATTCCTGTGATACATATTATACATAATGCAAGTCATTAGATATAATCATATGAGGCAGTTCCACATTAAAATTTCCTAGTTGTAGTAATGAAAACGTTTTACTTTAGAGTCAGACTGGTTGGGTTTGAGTGTTAACGCTGAAACAGTCTTTGCCATTTTTGGGAAGTTGGGTAACTCCACTGTCTTTGAGTTTCCTTATCTGTGTAATTGGCATAAAAAGAGCACACACCTTCTAGAAAATTAAATTACATATCTGATGTAGAACAGTCTCTTAAGCATAGGAAGTCCTCATAGAAGGTGTTCCATCCATCTGTGCAGCTAACAGCAGTATTAATAAGAATTTTCTCATCTCAAAAATGTCTAGTCTGATTGGCACAGTTTGGCCAGCTGAAACAATTGTAGAATGGTACTTACTAT